TCGTAAACAGTAACGGAGAATATATAATTGATTAATTTATTATTATAATTATTGTTTTTTGTTCAAATAAATATTTATGAAAAAACTCTACGAACTTATGTTACAACCCAATAGATTAAAGCATTATTTCAATTTTCAAAAATTGATTTTTTGAATTGTTTGAATTGTTTTCTGTGAAAGAATTTCTCAGTGGTGTTCTACTGCACGTAAAAGAAATTCTTTCTGCTCTTTATCTTTGGTTACAGGTTTTGCATAGTCTTGAATTAGTTTGACAGCTCGTTCTGCTGTATCATTTACAGATTTCAATGATTCTCAAACATATGTGCATTTGTTTGTTTTGCATTCAGTAATTGCAAAGCAAGTTGGCAACATTCTTAATAATCATCTCTTAATATTTTCCAAGACTTCCGGTTAAGTAAATCATACAAATTTTCACTTCTGCTTGTTTAAACTTTAATACTTGTTCCTCAATTTTAATTTTTTTTAAAAGTGGTATCTAAACTTAATGAAAGTTTAAACCATTTATTATTTTTAAAGTGTCTAAATGGCTCATAATTTCGAGATCGACATTCTCCAAATATCGTTCAATAAACAGATGACAAAACTCTTTGTAAGATATGGTGTCTGCAAGCGTTCTATTTTACCATCTACCTCAGATATTGACTTTGAATCCAAGTGAATGGAAGAGTACGTTGGTAAGATGAATGTTTTTTTAATTTCATCGGCAACTTGCTGTCGAATTTTATTACCTGATCTGCTTGCAGTGCTTTTTGAGATGTCAAACAGAGATGACAACTTATTAGTAAAACTTAGAAGTTAAGCCGTTTTTTTTTACATTTTCAATCAAGTTTTCTCTAAGATGTATCAGGTGTAGTATCATTCTAACATATTTTTTGTTTTGTTTTGTTTGAATTCCTGCCATTTTCCAAAATACATTCACTTTTTCGCAAACGACAGATCCAATTTCTTTATTACAAGTTAGTTTCAAATCAAACCTTGTAAGATAGAGTACCTTAACCCTCCCCCCCCCCTCCTTTATCTACAAAATAAAACCCATACGATTGCACGTGCTGTTTTTACCCTATGTGAATAATTTAAGCCAAATTTTAGCTCTGAACTCTAATGTTGAGTACATTACTGAGTACATTATTATAATTAACTACTATATTTAAATTTTTCAAAAAAATTACATACTCAAATTTATATACTGTGAATACACCCTTTCAAACTTTTTTTTTTTTTTTTAAGTGTAATTTATTTCGCCGTTAAAGAATGTTTACATTGCATATACATATATCAAAATTAATTGCAGGAGCAAGAAGAAGGCACATTTTGATTGATATAAATAAATTTGTTTTTATTTGATTAAATTTTAAAAGAAACATTTGAAGTCAGATAAATTAAGATCCCTGAATAGTAATAATTGTTTTGATTCATTTTTAAATTGTTCTAATGTAGTCTTGTTTTTGTTGATAGTACTGATAGCACCCACCCACTCCCACCCCCATCCCTTCATCCATTCCAACATATAATAAAACGGAGAAAACAGTGTGTTTTTTTTTAATTGTTTTAATGTTAAAATCTATGAAAGTCTTAAATTTTCCTTCATTTTATAGTTTTCTAGCATACTTAATGTCCAATGACCATGCTCCACGATTACCTCCTCCCCTTTCTAGTCACCAGGCTGCCAATGATTATGTGTTTGCTGTATGCGATATTTGCGCATGTTGTTAATTCAGCGGGGGAAAAAATATAAGATTTTGATGTTTCACTCTCTTCTAGTAAATAGAAAGCTAATGCAGCAATCAATTGAAAATAAAACTAAACAGAATTTTATTAGAGAAGCAAAAGAAAAACTACTCTGCCTTTATTTTGATACTAAAATTAAAGCAGAAAATGCAGATAGGCAAACCAGAAATGTTTACAAAATGGCTGTGCTTGTTACATCTCCTGATCTTAAGAAAGAATAGCTATAGGGATAGTTGTAATGTCAGATGGCCGTGGATTTACTCAAACAACATCAATTCAGACACTTCTTGTAGAATAGGATCTTTGAGATGATATTCGCACCATATTTTTTGATACTACAGCTTCTAATACAGGTGAGTATAGTTTAATTGATGTTAAAAGTGTAAACAATTATAGTAAGTTTTAAAAAATGGGGAAAAAACTTTAAGTTTGGATGAAGGGGGCTGCAACCATATTGGAAAAACAATTAGTAAGGTTTGGAAGGATGGAAAAATAATTACTAAGGTTTGGTTGCAGACATCATGTCTATGAGCTCCATATATAGAATGTTGAATTTTTTAACATTTTTTTTTTGTCATAAATTTTACTTTATAATTTAATCTTGTGTTTTAAATTGCTGCTATTTTAGCATGTGACACAGGCAGTCTCAGGAAAGAACACTGGTAGGCCAAATGAACATCTGTTTAAAAAGTTTTAAAAGGCTTAGGAAACCATCAAGCCCAAGATTGATTTGAAAAATCTCAATACGTTTGACTGGAGTACAAACAAGGGAACATTTTTGGAGAACAAAGTATTTTTCAGTGAAACAATTGTTATTATTATTGTACATGATTTGCCTAGAATTCAACCAGATTTTCTAACTTTATTATCTGCATTTAAAATCAAGAAATGTCTTGAAGCTATACTGTACAAATAAGAGTTTTCCCATGGTGATTATAAACATTTAGTTGAGCTTGAATTGGTCTGGTTGAAAAGTGATACGATAAAGGATTTTAGATTTCACAAACCAATTGCAGTGCACAGTACAAGATTTCTTGCTAAATGTTTATGTTATATGAGAATAGAAATGATAGCCACCCAGATAGATGGCATTGTCTTTGGTTTGATTACTGAGACAAAAAGATCAACAGTCTTCCAAGTTGTAGAGTACACAAGATTGTTTCATGCAATGTGGATCTTGAAATTGCCAGTGGTGAGTGTGGATTTGAGTTGAATCAAGGACAAATTTGAATGAAACTGTTTCAAATTCTGTTGAAACAAAAAAAAAATTGTTATTTATCAAGTAATCTATTAAGATTTTTCTAACTATTTTTTTTCATTAACTTGCCTGAAAAAGAGGTCTGTAACTGGCTAGATCTATTCTGCACTTTTTATAAAGAGATGTAACAATAGCTATGAGCTAAGATGATGGAATTTAGCCAGATTTTATTGAAAGTTAGAAGATCAAAGTTAGTGGGTAATGTGGCACATGCAAAACAAACGAATTAGTGTTATCATCACCCGACTTGTTTCCATCGAACCTTTGACTTTTTTGAGCCCTTTTTTTTATATATTTTTTTAGGTGTTTTTTAGGTGTTTTTTAGGTGTTTTTTAGGTGTTTGAAAACTATGTTTTGATCAATCTTTTAATCCGAAACTGAAACTTTTTTGTTTTGGGTGCAAAGATGACATAGTTGGTATGTGGTATTGCAACTTATGTTAACTGCAGTTTCACTGCAGTTAACATAAGTTGTACGTACGTGGTATTGCAACTTATGTTAACTGCAGTTTCACTGGAAGCGAAATTGAAAATTCTCAAAGAATCGCTGTAAAACATTCAAAACAACTCTGGCTCAAACTCACTTTGAATCACGAAACTCTTCTTATTGGTTGTATCTATCGCCAACCAACTAGTGGAATAAAATCTTTTAATGAAATCGCTAACATTATTTCTTATGCCATATCGTTTATTAAAAAAAAGAAGTTTACAGACCTTATAATTACCGGTGATTTCAACTTCCTGAACATCAAATGGAAAAAAGGGTGGATATACACCTCAAACACTGAAACCAGTTTAGATACAAAGTTTGTTAACATTATCAATATTCTATATCTACATCAGCATGTCACTAGACTAACTTTTATTCAATCCAACGGGTCTTCAAAAAATATTTTTGACCAAATAATCAGCGTATCGGCCAATCGTACAAGTGAGATTGTTGTTGGTCCGCCATTAGGAAATAGTTCACAAGGTCAGTGTACTCTATCATAGCATTATCAATTAGCTATAGACTACACCAACTTTAATCGTTTTACTAGTTTAAAATTTATTTATTATAAAGAAAATTATATTCAATTTAACAATTACCTGTCCAAACAGAGGTGGAAAAATCTATTTAAAAACTTAGACGATGAATGCTACCAAATTTTCTGCAATATCTACAACAAAGGTTGCAAAATGTTTATTCCACTCATCCATTTAAAACAAAATAAACGACGGCCAATCTGGGTAATGAAAGAACTTTTATTACTAATTAAACGAAAGAAAGAATTCTGGTTTCTCAACTGTAACAGCAAGTGGAAAATTATCTCGCTGGCTAATGATTACAAGTTCACTCGAAATCTTGTAAGAAAAGAGACTAGAGCTGCAATTCGTTCATTTGAAGAAAACCTATCTAAAGACAATAACAATCCAAAAAGACTCTTTGCCTACATTAATAGCAAACGTACTTTCAATAATCATATCAACACATTGCGTTCTCCATCCGGTGAACTCTGTACAGATAGATTTTTGATTGCCAATACATTGAACAAGGTATTCCAATTTGTCTTTAATATTGAGCCTCATAATCAAAATCTGCCTCTCTCTTAAACTTGTCATTTTTTTCATTTGATTCTGAATCTGTTCAAAAATACCTTGATGCACTTGACAAATATATGTCTGCTGGAGAAGATCAAATAAGTCCGTACGTTCTTAAAGCATGTGCCTGCACAATAGCAGCTCCGCTTGCCATGATTTTTCAAAAGTCAATGGAACAAGCAATTGTACCAAAGACTTGGCTTGTAGCTAATGTAACTCCATTGTTCAAAAACGGTTCTAAGACTGACCCCACAAACTACAGACCAATTTCCATCACTTCTGTACCATGTAAGATAATTGAAAGACTGGTTAAAGATTAGGTCATGCACCACTTATTATCTAACAATCTTCTCTCCCAATGTCAACACGTATTTGTCAGCAAAAAATCATGCACTACAAATTTACTCGAAACTATGGACTTTTTGACCTACACTGTATCACAAAAGCTACCTGTTGATACCTTATTTCTCGATTTTGCTAAAGTGTTTGACAAAGTTCTTCACAAAAGATTGCTAAGAAAGCTTGAATCTTATGGAATTAGGGAAAATATTTTAAATTGTATTAATGCCTTTCTTTCTAACAGAACACAACGTGTCCTCCTTGATAAAGTTGCATCCTCAGATCTTGGTCCAACACTATTTCTAGTCTATATTAATGACTTACCAGAACGCATTAGCAGCAAAAAAAAAAAAGCAAAATGTCCTCACCTTAAAAAAGACATTACTGAAATTAAACAAATACAAAATCGTGCCACAAAAATACCACATTAATTAAAGCACCTTGATCACAAGATAAGATGTGATATACTTGAACTAACTTTACTAAGTGACAAAAGAAAACATGGTGACATTAATTCAAAATCAAAAATAAAACTGAATTAATCAACTAGCATATTGATCCAATATACATTCCTCCCATCTATGGTCATCGCAAATGCTTTCATCTCGAAATTAATAGCAACTGCTTCGTTCGACTTAACTTTTTCAACAATCGGGTTGCAAATACTTGTAATGCTCTGCCGGATAATGTTGTCAACGCCTCTACTATCGACAGTTTAAAAAAAAACTAGACCAGCAACTCACATAGTTACCACAGCGCATCATTTTCCGTGGCTGTATTATTGCAGCTATACGAGCTAGCTTGCTAGCTAATGATGAACTTACGGTACATATCTGTACCGTGTAACTTTAATTTTAATTGTAAATAATATAAAAATACAATTTAATTTAAAAAATAAAAAAAAATTCTTAAATATTAACAATTTTGCCAATTATTTTTTTTAAATGTTTTTATTTCATAATATTTATTGTAATTTAACTTTTGATGTTAAAACTGTTTTAATTATCACTTATTAGTATATTATGCTGCTGGGTGGAAGGGATATGTTCTTAAGAAACTGTACCCAGTCAAAACTTTGTTGATCCTTAGTATCGATTCCGATATAATTAGACCAAATGTGTTGTTTATATTCAATCAGTTTTTTTAAAAGTTGGACGCTTAATATGCAGGTAACAATGGTTGTTACACAGAGCTTTATTGTAGCTGTATTTAAGACTATTTTTATTATCAGATGTGATAATAAAAAAATTCCAGTCAAATTGTCAAAGTTATGCCGGTAAAAATAAAGTCACTTGTTGCAATTAAGCCATTATACGTTTTTAAATCAGCGAAGTATGTGTTGCCAGAAATACAAACTATTTCATTTAATGTTTCTGAAGCAGTTGACAAATGCCTTTCAAGGTAATAAATATAACTATTTAGAAATTTTTTTGATTTTTTTATACCCAAAAATATTTGTACTTTTTGCATTTAATGTTTTCATTTAGTTGTGAATTGTCTAGTTTACTTGCCATTAAACACTATTTTAAATATAAATTGTTACACCATTATTGGTTCTCTCTTTCTTAAATAGCATATAGTTATAGATTAATCGGGTAGATTTATAATCAAACCAAGTTTCATTTATGGAGATTATCTCGTATTTGTTTTGTCTAATAGTTGCAGTTCAGTTATTCATTTTTTATAGAGTGAAGTTACATTAATGTAAAAGCTGTTGTGGTGAGATTTATTCTGATGAAGATGGGTTTTTTTATGTGTAGGGGAGGTAGGGGAGCATTGGGCACTTTTTTACATAAACGCTAATAAATCTGTTATTTTTTATCATAATCAAAATTTTATTTCAAATATATCTAGCACACATATTTAGCATTAATTATTGCTAAGAAGAGTTTTAGTATTATAATTAGTTGCAAAGTTACAAAAGGTTTTCTAACACGTGTCCAAAGTGCCCAAACCTCCCCGTGGTTGGGAGGTTTGGGCACCCCTATGGGGAGGTTTGGGCACTGTATTTAATATGAACGATATTGTTTTACTATACTCATATGCTTAAGTGTTATATAGCATTGCTATAAAAATTGTAACACAAACATTTTTTCATATCATAGACTTTACAAAAGATTAAACAATGTTACTTGGAATCAATACTCCACAATGTTGGACCTAATAAGACTTATCTTATATTTGGTATGACCCAAAGAGGCTTGTCAAATTTATATTTTAAGCTGCCACGTTTTATCCATGTTGATGGTGTAGGCAATTTTGTCTTTATATCCTCAAGGGGGACACTGGCTACGTCCTCGATGTCAGGAAACATAAACGTATTTCTTATCTTACTCGCTCTCATGAATTTGACAGTTGCCATGGAGTGATTAACCTCTTCGACAATTCCAACATAATGATAAACAGTTTTTTTGGTGTCAAATTTAACCAACACAAAGTTATTAACCTGGAAATTTCTATCCAGAACAATCACATCGTCTACATCAAAATCTTCTTTTGATGAATCGATTTCAACAAAGGCTTCGTCAGAATCGGAAACATTTTTTATTTCATCATCACTACTAATCTTCCTGTTTTTCTCATTTTTAGAGCATTTTCGATTTTTGTTGAGCTCTTTGATCTTATTTTTTCTTTGTTTTTTTTTTTCTTCAATTTCTATAAGTCTTTTCTCGGGTGTGTCTGTCAATATTCTAGTTTTTCCTTTCTTCCGTTTCATGCCACCCAATTTCCTGGGGCCGGCTTTCGGATATGGTCTTACTAAATCAGGTGTTACATTGACAGTGCCACTAGTCTGGCTTTTAGATAGAAATTCAAGTTGAGATGGCCCAGTGTGAATTGAATGGCCAAATGCCAGATTTTTCAAATCCCGTTTGAATATTTTGCAACTTGAATGCAAGTGGGATGGCCTTTGCTGCTAATTTTGGGATTTCATAAATTGTTACCGTTTTGCCAGGATTGCTCACCATCCAATCTGTTACAGCAGTGTTATAATAAGTTTTGAGTGGTCCATAGACAGTCAGGTCTAGGGGTTGCAGTTTATGGCTGCAGTGCGGTGAAAAAGTTATTAAAACAATGCCTGATTCTATACAAAAATCGAGAACTGGTACAGAAATATGGCTCTCGTGATTGTCCAGCAGCAATAGAACTGGTGATGAAGGCGTTGGTTTTGCGTATTTTTTAAAATGGTGTATATATTTTAAAAAACTTGATGCTGTCATCCACCCTGAAGGATGTGCTGCTCCATCTGAACCAACAGGTGCATCATTTAACATATATGTTTTGAAAATAACTCGTGGGAATATGAAAAAGGGTGGTATTGAGTTACCCAATGCATTAATGCCGCAGCAAACAGTTACAAGTGTCCCTCTTTCAGCTGACGTTACTTGCCCAACTTGCTTAGTGCCTCTGAGAGCAATCACTTTCTGGGTTCGTTGTACTGTTGATAATCCAGTTTCATCTATATTGTAAATAGACTCAGGGCCAAAACGATGTCGTTCATATACAGTTTTAAGATTTTCAAAAAAATCTCTAACATTTTTCTTATTGAAACTTGTGGCACGTGAGAGACTAGTAGCTTCTGGGGTCCTTATCGAAAGCTGAGGTTGTCTTTTAAAAAAACCCCTTAGCCAATCTTTCGATGCAAGTTTCTTCTCTATCCAGTTGTCTGGTATTTTTTTATTAATGGCAGTGGCATATTCGTATACTAATTCGCGTGCTTTCAGTTTTGACATGCCATGGTTAAGTTTAAACAATGTTACAAAATATTCTGAAATTTTTTCTTCTTCATCTTTTGTGAATATTTGGGATGATATATATTTACAAGAAGTATCTTTCACAGCGCCACCCTGTTTTATGTATCTTTGAAGGTTAGACCTGGGTATATCATATTTAATCGCAGTAGTTTTAATTTTTCCTCCTTTAGAAATCTCTTCCAATGCACGCAAAATTACATCTTTAGGGATTTCACGTCGTTTATTTTTCTTTTTAAATAAAAACGGCATTGTCCTGAAAAGAAATGATTAACCATTCAATCCAATAGTCATAGCAAAAAAACACAAACATATGACAAAAAAACACACTAAAAAAAGAGGGAGCATTGGGCATGCCCAAACCTCCCTCCTACCTGCGTGCCCAATGCTCCCCATAACCTCACTTTTTAAACAGATTTGAATAAGTTTATTTTTATCAAATGTTGAATCCTAATTGTCAGGTAAATATAATGTTCATTAAACACAAAAGAAGAAGTTAACACAGATACTTACAATTTCTTGCAGATTTCTTTGTTATCTTTCTTCAAATCATAAACAAAATATTTACTTTTGAACGCAACAAACTGTTAAGCGCATGTAACTTGACAACCAAGTGAAACGACAGCTGACACTTTTGATGAAAAGTGTTGCCAATTATAAAACTATAATGCTATGGTAAAAAACAAAAAATATCTAGAAAAGATGGTGAGAAATGAGGGGGTGCCCAAACCTCCCAACTGCCCAATGCTCCCCTACCTCCCCTATATATTTTTTTTTAATTTATTTATTTGAGTTTTCATGCTACATTTTTCTATACAATGTTCTTACATCCGAAGATATTGTTGGCTTAGCATAGGAACAGCCACAAATAGTCATTAAGACTAATCCAAAGTAGCGTCCGGTATTGACCAACAATTTTGCGTACCAAAGTACTACTCAAGCGCTGAGTTGACGGTGGTGGAATTTAAACTCGTATCGTTTAACAATCCGGGTTTTAACTTTTCCGTTGACGCTGTAACCATCTGAGCTATCTCGCCACTATGTGTATATGTGTGCACTATATATGTGCTGGTTAATTTGGTAACTTTTTACATTGGAATGACATACAACATGCCCAGCGGCTGCGCAAGCTCCAATTAGTTGCCTAACGCATTTATCTCAGTACTATTGATATTGACTGCATTTTGCGTGTTGATACATTTGAGCTTTCCCCCCGGATAACAAATCAAAAGAGTTGGTTGAGTTTTTGTTTGTTTCAAGGATGTTTTTGTATTTTTTTACTGTTTTTTGAAAGTATCAACTTCAGGTGGGGTTCGATCTGGACTAACAAAAATTTTATTTTGATAATCAGTGTTTTTCGGTTTTTTGATTTTTCGTTTTTTTGAGGCAGCTACTATATAGTTTTTAGTTCCAGATCTTCAAATTGGAAAACAACTGGTTGATAATTTAAAGAGTTCAATGCTGCAATTATGGAAGCTGAACTATTTAAAGAGTAAAACCTATTTTAACGGCCTCAAAACACCTACTACTGCCACATTGTGATTATCAGGATTTATGTCGATAAGAAGATGAAATAACTATAGTTATTTCATCAACTTGTATATATACAAGTTGTTTTGGCTTCGTGCATCTTATTGTTTTGCTTCTGTGACTTTTGCAATAGTCGTTGATGCTGTTGATCT